TAAAAAAAATTTCTTACCACAACACCACAGAATCCATCCAATGCACAACTTAGATCAACAATTTATATAAAGTAAAATAATGACAAAATTGAAACAGAAAAGAATAAAAAAGAAAAGAAAAAACACAAAGGGGAATAAAAAAAGGGGAAAATAAAACCCTCCTCTACTTGCTGCAGATACAGAGCGGCTTTGATTTGCACTCATTTCATCACCGCATCTTACCCATGGAGATGGCAAAGGGGAACCATGGTGATCAAAAGAAGAAGAATATGGAGAAAGTCCCAAGTCCCAGACGAGAAGACCTTCTCAATGGAAATCACATGCTCGTTGGGTGGAGTGACATCGGAGGATTTCATTGCCACCTATGTCCATTACAATGTGCACACGCCACACTTCAAGGGGAAGGGAAAGGAGCAGCTGCCAGTGAAGTATGGGAAGTGAAGGAAGACATTTTCAGACTATTGCATGTAAATAAAAGAGATCAAATGAATGATGATGTGAGTTTCACCGAGTTATAGACATTTTTCAGTACTTTGAAACCTCTGGTTAGCGTATTAAGCTTTCTATTATACTGTTCTGTGTTGCTAAATCCATAACCCTCATTTGCTATTGTGTTTTGTGTCTGTTTGTTTGTCTTTTCTTGGTTGTCAAATGTCATTTATTTGAGTGCTTGTGACTCATGAGAGTAGTATTTCGTTTGGGAAAACTTCAATTCAACTATCTTAATGCTAGAATTCAACCATTTTATTGTAAAGTTAGAGACCAATAATGGAATGAGCAGCTCGTCTGTCCTAAATTTAATTAGGAGAAGGGGGCAAACATTGGAAATCCAAAGTGGAACATGATTTTCAGGCATACTTCCACAGAATTGCACTAAGAAAGGTAGATGATCATATCAACCTAACACCAATCATATCCGTAGAGAAATTCATGTATTATTGTCATTCTGGTGTCATATACCTAGAGAAGTTCATGTAGTATTGCCATTCTATATAGTTACACCAATTCTGTTTGAAATAATTCACACATAGAAAAGTTCATGTCCACTAGCGCCATCTAATTTAGAAAAGGAATGACAGGCTCAAGACTGCATATGATATAGAATGAAATCAATCAACTTAGCAGCACATATCCAAAGCTTCTTATCCTAAACTTGCTAAAAAAAAATTCTATTTTTCAACCATGTAACTTAGGCTACTTCTCACTCTCCTCCTCCAGTATTACAAAATAATATACTATCATTCTACGTTAGATAATTGGAATTTGGAAATAAACATGATAGCCTTTGATTCCTGTTTAGGTTGCAGAGAAAAGACCTCTATCTTTGAAATTCTACCCTTTCCAATTTGAAAACATGCAGAGTAATTACATACTCCCATTCATGCTCTCCATTAAGCAGCAAGGAAATGGTGCTAAAATATCTACTGCACAAATTCCACCAAGTATTCTTTTAGACCTAAACTGCTAAAGCTAAAGCTAAATCTAAGGGCCTAAATATATTTTCTCTGCCTAACCATTGAGACAAGGTTCCTTCGGGCCTAAAAAGCTAAGGGCCAGATGGACTCGACATCAATTGTGCCTGTTTCTCACACCATCCCCTAGTCTTACAAAATAATATCCTACCATTCAACATTAGAAAATCAGAAATAAACATGATTGCCTTTGATTCCTATTTAAGTTGCAGGAAAAGAACCAATAAAGAATGCTCTATCCTTGCAACTCCACACTCACCAATTTGTAAAGTAATTGCTCTCCTCCCATTCATACTCTCCGTTAAGTAGCTAAGAAATAGTGCCTAAATATCTCCCTGCACACTCCTCCCCTACAATTACAAATTAATATCCTAAACAGGATATTCTTGACGAGCTGCTCTTTCCATCATTGGTCTCTAACCTTACAATAAATAAATGGTTGAATTCTAGCATTAAGATGGTTGAATCGAAGTTTTCCCAAACAAAATACTGCTC